AGTCTGTGAGCCTTACCAAGACAACAAGAAGAACAAAATGAAACATCACTTTTATTTATGCCAGACACATTACAAGTGTTGAGTACAGATTTCAATGCTTCAAAATGTGGATGGTCTAATCTTAGGTGCCAAACATTACAAGAAACTGAGGCATTATTACAAGGGGTAGACGTATTATAAGTGGAAACAAAAGAAAGGGGATACAAAGGGGTGTTTGTTGTGGACACTATTGAGGTAGACAGACTTGCATCTTTGAATTGATGTAAACCAAGAGGAGGTATGGACTGGAACTTGTATAAACCATCAGCACCAAGAACTCCATGTAGAAGAACCTGTTTAGAAGCCTGGGATTTGACATAACAATCATAAGGATAGAATTCAAAGAAAACATTGTTGTCTTTAGCAAATTTACTAACACTCATGAGATTTTTGGTTATAGAAGGGACATGAAGCATATTAGTTAACATAAGAGACTGAGACTTAGAATAGGGAGATAGAAAGGAAGAAAAACCAATAGATTTGATATCCACACCTTGACCATTACCCATAAAGAGTTTGTCAGTTGAAACAAGAGGTTCACTGTGCTGAAAATTGAGTGGATCAGCAGTCACATGGTGAGTAGCACCTGAATCAGGGAACCATTGTTGAGTAGATGGAGGTGGTCCAAGAACAGAGTTTGTACTAGCAAAGGCTGCAGATGGTAGAGGTCTGGCTGAGTGCTGATCCCAATTGAAAGTCTCTTGAGCTGTAAATTGGTGGTTAGGAAGATGCCCAGGAGCTTAAGAGCTGAAGTGTTGAGGTATATTCTGTCTTGGAGTATAGTAGGGTGAATGGTTGAAGTGAGATGGAGTGTATGAATTAGGTGTTTGTGAGTTTCAGTGACTTGAAGGTCCATAGTTAGAATTGGTGTAAATTGGATTAGGGTTTGGATAGGTAAAATTAGGATTGTTGCGATGATGACAAATTAGGACATGATGTCCAGACTTTCCACACACCTGACATATTACTGAGCTTCGATTTCCAAAACGACCACCTCTACCTCTGTTTGGGCCTCCACGACCTCTTCCTCTATACGAATTCGACCGATTAGGGTTATGAAATTGTGCCATATTTGCAGAAGAAGATTCGGTTGATGTGACGGTTTCTGAACTGGAGGTTTGAGATGTGTTTTCAGTATGAGCAACATTAGCAGAAAAAATAGCAGGAGTAGTTGCTTCACGATGCTTTTTCAGATGCATTTCTTTGAGTAAAAGCAGAGGTTCAAGTTCTGAAACAGTTATTGGATCAAGGAGGCTTCGAGAGGATACAGATGATACAATAGACTCATATTCCTCTGGAAGACCCTCAAGAATAACATTCACATGTTCTTTAGTAGAAATTGGCTCACCAATCAAACTCAGATTATCAACAGTTGTTTGAATCCGAAGAAGATATTCTTCAATCGAGCGATCTCCTTTACCAGTATTGTAGAGCTCGGATTTGAGCTGGCGTGCTTTCGCAGTGAGATTTGATTGGAAAAATTTCCGAATCGTACTCCAAAGCTCGTGCGAACGTTGACAATGAATTACGCGAGCATGAAGTGATTCCGATAGAGAGGAAAGAAGCCATGAGAAAAGCATCTGATCCTGTTGTTCCCATAAAAACAGCATATTCATCGTTGATTATCCTGGTTCCGTCATCGCCGGTCATCGCCATTGATGAACTGAGCTGGAATCTTCGGATTTTCCACAAATTGCAACAATTTGTGTGCTCGAATGATGGATTCGATATGATGCTTCCAAAGAAGAAAATTGTTTGAATCAAGTTTGATTGGGAGAGGATGCGTGAACACAGCTGGAAACGTGATATTCCCAGCTGCGGAAGAAGATGTCGTAGAGGTTGAATTTGTCATGGTAGATCGAGCTCAAAGCTCTGATACCATATTAGAAAAATAGCCAGAGTATAAAATGAAGTAGAAGGATTTCATTAATCACATAATACCAGTACATCAGTATTTATAGAGAAGGGTATAACAAACTTGTAACTGAATCTAAACAACTTGACTAACTATAACTGGCTAACTGAATACTAGGCTTATTACATTATTCGTAGATATAGTATCTCTAAGACATAATGTCCCTCATGAGTCCTGAAAGCAGTCTTATGAGTATCATTTGCTTTCATCCTAATCTAGTGATATCCAGATTTTAAATCCAGTTTTGAAATACTCCTTGCTCCTACTAATTTATCCAGAAGTTCTTCAATAACTGGAATGGGAAATTTATCTGGGGCAGTTATCTTGTTCAGGGCTCTATAATCTCCACAAAACCTCCAAACACCATCCTTTTTAGCCAAATAAACTGGATTGCTATAAGGATTGTTGCTATGTTTTATTATCCCTGAACTAAGCATTTCATTAATGATTTTCTCAATCTCATTCTTTTGATCATAAGAATACCTGTAAGGTCTTATGTTAGGAATGTTTGCTCCTGTGATATTGATGGCATGATCACAGTTCCTGACAGGTGGAAACTCCAAGTTTGGATGTGAAAATTTCTGGAAATTCTGCCACAATTCTATCCCAAACTTCATCTTTCTCTTTGTTCTGATCCTGCTTAGTCATTTGTCCTTCATAATACAGCAAATATCCATCTCCAGTTTGTTGTAAAATATGTGTCATGGTTTTGAGGGAAACCTTCACATTGTTCAGAGCTGCATCTCCCTTGATAATGTACTCCTTCCCTTTTTGCTTCCATTTAATGATCTGATTCTGAAAATTCACTTCCATATCACCCAATTTAGTCAAACATTCCATCCCCAGCACTACATCAGTGCCTCCTAACTCCAGGATGTAATAGGTTTGTTAGATCTCATTCCCTTGCACATTTAATTTCATTCCCACACACCTGCCACTGTTAGGAATGAACTCTCCATTTCCAAATTGGACTTTATATCCCTTAACAGGATTAAAAGGAATTTTCCATCAGTCCACCAAGTTCTGGGATATAAAATTGTGGGTAGCACCAATATCAATGAGAATGTTGACAGGCTGTTCTCCTGCAGACCATTCCAACTTTCCTTTCACCTTGAATGTTTTCATGGAAGGTATTTCTTCCCTACTTAGTAGGGATAACTGCATAGCTTTGGATTCCATGTGTGCTCCTTCCCCTTCATCAGATTCAATATAATCTATTTCAGAATCTTCCTCACCATCAGATTGCTCTATCAGGACCATCTTGAAGTTCTTCATCTTGCAAACATGCCCTCGGTTCCAATTTTCCCCACACTTAAAGCACAATCCCTTTTTACTTCTTTCTTGCAATTCATTTTGAGACAATCTGGGACCAAATCTTTTCTGGTTTTGGGTAGTCTCATTCTCACTTGCCTTGTTTTCAGGTATAATCTTACTTGAATTTGCAGAAGTGTTAGGGTTACTCCTCCACCTACTACCATCTCCCCATTTGTGGTAATGATTGTCAACTGTTGTTTTACTCTGCCAACCCTTTTTACCATCTTCTTTATGCTTCCTGGACACCACTTCATTGTTCTTATTCTCATATAACAATGCCTTGTCCATGATCTCTGCTAGATCTCTGGTATGGTAAAGCTTCAGCTCTGCTCTTATGATCCTTTTTAGACCATTAAGGAATACTCTTAAAACTTCACTACTCAGATGCCCTTGAGGAGCAATAGCCACTTTGAACTGCTCTCTGAATTCCTTCACAGACCCCTTTTGTTTCAGACTTAGCAAAGGTCCCAAAAGATTTTGTACTAGGTCTGGTTGGAAGCGTTTTGTTAGAGCTTCTTTAAAAGCCTCCCAGTTCTTCTGACACGCTTGGTTTTCCCACCACTGGAACCAACTAAGCGCCTGATCCTCCATAGCAACTACAGCTACTTCAATTTTATCCTCTTCCTCAGTGTTATTTAATCTGAAGTAGCGATCCATTCTAACCAACCATCCGTAAGAATCATCCCCATTAAAAATGGGTAAGTCAATCTTCCTTCCTGTATGATTATGATTTCGTTGACCTCTGCGATGATTGCGATTGTGATGCGATGATGAATAGTCGGAATGATTGTCTGAATCATCCGAACTATCGGAACTCTTCGCATGTCGACGATGCGATGTGCGATGTGAAGTGTTCGAGTTGTGCGATCGACTTCTTGATCGACTTTGAAGTTGTTCTCCATATTCGCGAATGATGTCTGCATCGCAATCATATTTTCATCCAATCTCTTCATAACTCTCTCAAAGTCGTTCATTCGCATCTCCATTTTTGCACGAGTACAGACCATCCACAGTGATCGACGTCACTCTGATAGCACTGATAGAACTCTCGCACAGGTATGTATGAATACAGAAAATAGAAATAATATTCAAGAAACAAACTCAAGCTTTCATTAATGGAGGAAGAGAGTGCATCGAGTTCCCAAAGAAGAGAGACAGTGTATCTCTAATCTTCCCAGTCCCAGCTCAACTGTCTAACAACCTATCTTTCTCTTCCCAGACTTATTCTATTTATAGTCTCTCAGTTTAACCGAAAGTAGTTAATAGCTAATGACAGAAAATAACTATCAACTAACTATTCTATTTACTCCTTCTAGAATAGTCCCGGCCAAAGTATTTGTCCTCCTCATTCAGTTCAGCTGTATCCCTATCAGACCAACTTCTCCTTTCAAAACCTTGTATGCTTAGGGAGTAATTATCCTCCGTTGACATAACAGTATAATATTATAAACTAATATAATAAACTCTTCAATGCCAACAAAGAGTGATTCCATGAAATCCTAACTTTAGAAGGTAATAAAGTGTATGTCATTAAAAATAGCTAAGACCTGATATCCTTGTGTGTTACTTTGTATTTTTATGCTGAAATGCGTGATAAACGTTAAACCAGAGTTCAACTCCTAAATATACATAGTTAGTAATTCTGAGACACATAAGGGTAAGCGTTTATACTCTCAGGGCCACCTACTTCACACTGAAACCCTTTTCCAACAAAAAGTTCCTTAAATCTTACCTGCATGATGAACTTCAGATAGTTATTAATAGCATAAAATAGGGCTGGAACAGCCAGTAGAGAATTGTTCCTTGCTGCCTGTGAACAACAAGAAAAGGAAAAGGATGAACTTTTGATACACCAAATATCGCGGGAACTGGGAAAACACGATAATTAAAGCAACCAGAAACATGGACTTGAAAAGGTTTTACAAAATGAAATTCTTAACTGCATAATACCTAGAAAGAAAATTATCAAAATGGAAAACAAAAAAATATCAAGGAGCCTCTAGAGGGAACTAACAAAAGATATTGCCCAAAATAGGAGTAAAAACGTTTGTGAATTCTAAAATAGAACTATGTTTGTATTGCCTAAATAGGAGTAATTAATCCCATGTCTTGGTATTGCCCGGTTTTATATTTTCCGATCTTGATAGTAATTACTCCTATTTAGGGGATAAAAACATAGTACTCCTATTTTGGAATTCCAAAACATTTTCACTCCTATTTCAAGAATTTTCCCAACTAACATCCTTAAAGAAGATGGTGTATTTTATAAGGTCAATATTAAAAACAATGCCGCAATCTAAAGAAAAGTGAAGCTCCTATTCTATTATGCAGTTCAATCATTGTCTTTTATATCACTGTCTTCCAATTAGAGAACAACTGAATTGTGGCATCAACCACTCTAACCTGAATAAAAGTAGAAGGAGAAAGAAGGGACTTCTCTCCAGCTTTCTGATGCCTACTCTGCAAATTTTATAAGATTTTTTAAATGCACAAAACAAGGAAAAGATATTGAACACGAACCAGCAACCAGATAGAGGTATCTAAGAATCAAAATTACCTGTATACAGAGCATCACTAATGCGAAGATAACTTTGGCAATCTCGGTCAAAAAATTAACACTGATGGGACTAAACTTAAAACTCCCATCCACTTTTGACATATATACCAGTATAGGCTGCAACCCCACAAGAAAAAACGAATGCCAAAAATTTACACAGACAATTAAATCTGCAACCAATACAATCTAAGCTCAAGAGTATTTAGACATGTGATGACAATAGATAAGCTGAGGTTGGTAAACATACCTGTAAGCCAACCAGTATGCAATCTCCACCGACCAAAAAGATGTTAAAGGCGCGAGATTTCAAGGAGACGTCAGTCCGGTGCCGATCGTAGGCCTTAGACACGGCCTTGGAGTGGGGCGAGACTCCCAACTTTGAGTGACAAATGCTGCACTCCACCACTCCTTTGCCACCACCGCTGCCGCCACCAAGGATATTCATATTCCTCTCCGACTCTGAGCTTAGGTGCCCGTATCTTCTCCGTATAGACTATCTCAATCAACGTAGCAATGAAGGACGAAGGTGAGATCAATAATAAAGGAAGGATCTGGATCTAGAGTATTCAGATCCAGTGTTGTGAAAGCAAGTGGAAAACGGGGACGCAATTGGAGGGAGTAGAAGGCAAGCTACTATTTCATCAAGTGCGGAATGGCGGAAGCTTTTCAGGGCATAAGCGTGAGAGTTTTAAGTTGGGACGTCGCTGCCTCTGCAACGCTCTTTGACCACCATTTTTTTTTGTATATATGTATGGTGATGATAGGTAGGTGCCTCGCTCGCCGGGTTATTGATGAGCGCTACCTAGTCCGTACTCTAGCCAATGATGACACCCATTCTGGAGTCCGTATACCATAGGACCGGCCCAGTATGAGCATGTTACACCCGCATCAATACGACGTCGTTCTATTAATTAAAAAAACGCGCACAAACGACATTCTCGAAATCGGCGCGTCTTTTCTTCCGATAGCTGTGTCTTTTGACATTGGCTATTTACATTTCTCGATACACTTTCTGACTTCACGCTTCCATCAAGTTCCATCAGACAGAGTTCCACCATTCGAAGTGCATTCTGAAGAAGGAAAAGTAAGAATCCGAACGAAGAAGAACGTTTTGAAGATCGAGAAAATGACGAGGTCTAAAGGCAAAACAGTTGCAAGGTATTTCATCCGAACGAACTATGTACTTTGCTTTTTGAAGTTCAAAATGTATGTCTGAGAATGTAACAATATGATTCATGTGCTAATTTGCTATAAATTTTAACATGCATGTAAGTCACTCTCAAAAACGAAAGAGATTGAGTATTGAATAGTGTGATTTATGTCTTATTGTGATCTCAATTTGAATAAGCAAAGTGTGAATGCTCATATGTCATCGAGCATAATAAGGAAATTGTCGATGTAACTACAATTTTTGGTAATATAGTGTTGCATACCTCAATATGTTTGTTATGACTTAGTTTGTCATTGAATTTTTTTGGTGATATAGTGTTGCATGTCACTGAAACTAATACCAGATTAACTTTATTAATTTTATGTAACTTGTGTATAATAATACATAAATCCTCTGCCTTGGTCTGTGACTGTAAGTAAGTCCACATGACATTGTTCATCTGATTGTGAATGATGTAACTTCTTTTCACTTTTATGTAAATTGTGTGTAAAAAGATGTAACTCATGTGCTCCACATGACATTGTTCATCTGATTGTGAATGATGTAACTTCTTTTCACTTTTATGTAAATTGTGTGTAAAAAGATGTAACTCATGTGCTCCACATGACATTGTTCATCTGATTGTGAATGATGTAACTTCTTTTCACTGTTATGTAAATTGTGTGTGACAAGATGTAACTCATGTGCTCCACATGACATTGTTCATCTGACTCTGAATGATGTAACTTCTTTTCACTGTTATGTAAATTGTGTGTGACAAGATGTAACTCATGTGCTCCGCATGACATTGTTCATCTGATTGTGAATGATGTAACTTCTTTTCACTTTTATGTAAATTGTGTGTAAAAAGATGTAACTCATGTGCTCCACATGACATTGTTCATCTGATTGTGAATGATGTAACTTCTTTTCACTGTTATGTAAATTGTGTGTCACAAGATGTAACATATGTGCTCCACATCACATTGTTCATCTGATTGTGAATGATGTAACTTCTTTTCGCTGTTATGTAAATTGTGTATGACAAGATGTAACTCATGTGCTCCACATCACATTGTTCATCTGATTGTGAATGATGTAACTTCATTTCACTATTATGGCAATTGTGTGTGACAAAATGTAACTCGTGTGGAATATAAGGAGAACAAGAAGTGTTGTAGCTCCTGAAAATGAAACTCAGCATACGGAACATCAGAATGAAGCTGCAAGGATACTGAACACAGAAGAACCGATTCTAAGGCTAGAATATCATCAGCCAACAACAAGCAAAAAAAGAAAAGCAGCCCCAAAAAAGAAGAAAGCAGAATCTGAAGAATCAGACGATGAATGTGAAGAAGTGGAGACAAGCAACAGGCCGCCTTCTGTAAACCTCAGAACAAGAGTAGGACTAGTCCCTTTCATAAAGTTGATTAAACAATTAGATGAATGAAAAAAAGAAGCAGTTGAAAGGATTGAATTTGGGGGATTACTGCATTTAAACTTTGACAGATTCTATGGAGATTTGGTTGCGTTTCTGTTGAAGAACTTTAGACCAATTTCAGGACAGCTACAACTTGCCAATGGTGAGCTGCTAGATATTGAAGATGAAGATGTCAAAGCTGTATTTGGTCTGCCAAAGGGAAAGATAGAAGTTCAAGAAGCGAATGCGAAGAATGAAACTGAAGAGTATACCCAACTGCTACAAGAATGGAGAGAAGAATGGGGGATTGATAAAGGAAGCCCTCAAACATAAAAAATGATTGAAAAAATAGTTGCAGATACTGACTCTGGAGACAGATTCATCAGAAACTTTGTGGTCTTTACAGTCTCTTGCCTGATCAGAGGAAACCAGAGTGTCAACATCAATTTTAAAATATTGATGTCTTTGGTGAATGTAGCTGATATACCAAACATGAATTGGTGCTACTACACAATAAGATCGTTGGTGGATGCAAGCGAGGAATGGCAAACTAATCAATCAAAGATGTTCAGTGGACCATTACTGTTTCTAATGATATGTTACTTTGACCGAGTACAATTCAAAGGCCAAATTATGCAGAGTGCTTATCCAACCATTAGAATCTGGGACAGGGAGAGAATTGACAAAAGAGTCAAAGATGAGAGAAAGGTGGGCTTTTGTCTGGGAAAGGTGACAAAGCGAATAATAACAGTCGAAGAGGAAGACAAAGATGAAGAGGAAGCAGGAAAAGAAGATGAAGAAAATGAAGATGCTGAAATGTTGACAAAGGAGGTAAATTTTAATACAACACTTTGTGATCTTAAAGACAATTTTATGTAACTTAAATCAATTGTTACATAACTATAGGATTTTTCCAAGGAGCCTGTAATCTTAATTCAATAACTATGTATCTTATGTATTATTAAACAACTATTATTATAATTTTTATAGGATTGTGTGAAGGAGATTATAGCTGTGGCACAAAAGTTTAGTGATGCTTTTGTGGAATTCTGAAAGTTGCCGTCAACCATTGCAAAAAAGTTCCCCAATTCTGATATCTTGAAGAAGATATACTTGACCACAGCTGATTACTTCATCAATCAAGCAAATGGAAATCAAGCAAAAGGAACTCAACGATTATCCGAGAAGTGTGTCCTTGAGGAAGATGATGACTTCTTTAATGAGCCTGGAGTTATGGAAGCCCTTGAGAGACTAGAGAAAGCAGCATTCCTGAAATTTTCAATGCCTTCATTTGACACAGGAATTGAGTTTAACATGTCATAGGGTGAAGGCACATCAAAAGTGGATGTAGAAGCTGCGAAGACTGAAACTGCTACTGATGTACAAGATGTGATGACTGAAACTGTTGATGGAGTGGAAGATGTGATGATTGACACCGTTGCTGGAATGACTGGAACTTTTTTTGTTGATGGAGAAGTGAATGGTAAGGTTGAAGTGGCTGAAGTGGCTCAAATGGCTGTTGAGGAAGAAGTTACTGGAGATGATGGAGAAGTAAACAAGGAAATTGATAATAAGCAAGAGTAAGTTTTATTTTTTTCTTATGTAATTCATCAATACTTTTAACTAATAAAATAAACTTAACATTATATTATTTTTTACAAAGGAGTGCTGGTCTAAAGCCATATACCAGAAAGAGAAAGCTTCGAAAGTTAGGTGATTCAATTGTCAATTACAGATCACCTTTTCTGAAGAATAATAGAAGGCTATGCAACGAATTTAGCAGAGATGAAAAGATTGTTCTTGATTGGGGATTCTCAAAAGAAGTTGAAAAGTAAGAAAAACTAATATTATATAATGTATTATTTCAATATAAACACCATTTGATAATTAATTGTTTCAATTTATTTGAAAAATATTATTCTGTTAGAGACTGTGTCTATCTAGATGAGGAAGGTGTGTTTATAACTCATGAGGAAATTCAGACACTTCAAGAAGGAAATGTAGACAACTCAATAATTGATGCATTCACTAAGATTCTGAATGACATAGAAGAATCAAATAAGTCTACAAAGCGTGCCTTCATTGCGTCAACCCAAGTATATGTATGTATATTTTTTTCTTGTAAAATTGTAAAATAAAGTAGAGAACTTCAGTTTCTATATTTTCCTAAGAGTGACTCAATTTGAATGTGCAGGCAATGTTTGATTTTGCATCTGGTGACCCAATAGAAAATATGGTTGACAGATTGCAAAAAGAAATAAATGAAGCTGCAACAGATGTCACAAAATTAGATATGGTAAAATGTCATTAATATTTAATTTTACATAATTCAAGTGTAAAAATACAAGTCAAATTTGGTAATCCTTATATATATATTCTTAAATGTAAATCAGTGTGAAACAATATTATTAAAAGAAAATGTTTAGCATAATATGTAACTGCAGCTGTTGACTAATGTAAGTTCTTATATGAATTATGTAAACTCTATTGTTTTATGTAAGTCAGTGTATAAGATATATTGTTAAAAATGTTGTTAAAAACAAGGGTGAAAAATAATATCGTAGTATGTAACTACAGAGCTGAGGGATGTAAGTTCTGATATGAATTATGTAGATTCTGTATTATTTTATGTAACTGAAGATGAATTGCTTATAATACTGCAGATACTGTTTCCCATTCACAATCATGAGCACTATTATATCTACTGCTTTTACACAACAAACAACATTGTTGATGTATTTGACAACCGGATGCTTCCAGATGGGGTGAGCGTTGAGGACAAATATGGCAAAACTTTGAAAAAAAATGGTAAAAATTCAATACAATGTTTTGGGAAATAAGAAATCATATTATTCCATATTATTTTAATTCATTAATGTTACTTCTTGTATAGCATGAAGGATTCAAAGCCTTCTGTGAGAAAGTGCAGATTTCCAGCACAACAAGTTGGGTCCCCAGAATCTTATACATGCCATGGAGACATAATAGCAATCACGTTGAATGTGGAGTATATACTTTGCGTCACTTGGAGACATTTCGTGGGCAAGGACATGTATGGGATTCTGGATTTGCAACTGCTGCCACAAATGATGGAATAAAAGCTCAAAATGAAACCATCCAAAAGATGAGATTGATGTATGCAGCTCAAGTTTTACTGTCAAAATTTAACAAAGAAAGGGAAAACATTTTGAAAAAAGCAAAAGACTACTTGAAGATGTAATTAATTAATATGATGGGGTTACA